TTGATCAGCTAACCCGGACGAGTCCGGCACTAGACCACATCACAGAAAGACTCGAAGCGCCGAAGCTATTAGCATAATTACAATACTTCCGTCTGGCCGATCCAACTTTCTGCTTATTTTAAGCTACCGGGCTCTGATATCTCTACCGTGATGGGATTGCAGGCGAATCCATTACGCTGATGCAGCGTTAAAGGGCCAAATCATCGGAACGAATGTGCTGTTAAGTCATCATCGATACCGGCTACCTCGCGTCGGATTTAATTGGGCAACGCGTATCGGTCGTTGCCGCCTGTGCTATGAGTCGGATGAACCTCGACAGGTAGTATCAACGTATTATTCGTCTTCCTAAACAACGCGCTCGTCTCTTTTACGCTAATCGACATGGTAATTGACGTAGTATTATGTATGAAATTATTCGATTTCGTTGGAGGCCTATATCAAGCTTTATACATATTTTTGAAACTATATTCTAACGTTTTTGGCTGTAATTTCAGTTCTGTACGTTTACAAAAATTGTCTACAATAATAATCAAATTGTAGGAGCAAGGGCAATAATTTATATGGTGAAAAATAGTTTGTGAATAAAATTCGATAAGCTGATGTTGGATATGTGAACTATGTGGGTCTAGTACATAATATTCTTCCTTCTGTTGAGCCGAGCTGGTAAATAACCAGCATACACCCGTTACGAATTAGATTTATTTTCAGCGAGAACATAAATGAGCCAGTAGTTGCGAAGGGTGTTTCGGTTCGGTGACTGTAGCTGATTCAGCTTTCCACCCTTACGGTCCCACACGACACTTTATCTTGTGTAATAGATCGTGGTGTATAGGAGGACGTGTGCCGATATCCCCGTCATTAAAAGTCAATGCTACGCGAAATTGGAAAATCGATATACAGTGACCACAAATTTAAATAAGTTAAAAAGTCTTAACGTGGATTTTCCCATTTTGTGTTGGTAGTAAGACACTGTCCATTTCCTGACAATTTTATTACTTTATAATTATACCTAGAACCAGTTGGAAACGATGCTCTACGATGCTCTACTGGAGTGCACAGGCATAAGTAGAAGCAGTCAGCAATGGTCAGACACGCTAACCAAGTCCTACTTCATCGCGCGCATACAAAACGTAATTTATCCTACACTGTTTATTTATTAATTTGTCGTGAATTTTGCTTTCCCTTTAGACAACATTTTAACTTAATAAAATAGTATTAGTAATAGCATCATCAAATTTTTAAATCATTCTCCCATAACCGACTAACCGTTCATCGCTATCCAACTTTAAGTAGAAACAGTCAACATTGGTCAGACACGCCAACCCCGTCCTACTTAATCACCCACGAAATTTACCTTCCACTATTTATTTATTAATTCGTAATATATTTTGTTTACATTTCGAACAATTTCTTGACTCCATGTCAATACAGTTAGCAAGGTGTTATTAAATTTTTATATCGTTCTGCCGTAATTATGCACCGCTATCCAGGGTAAGCTTTGAAGCTCGGAGAGCAACCTCCATCGAGTCTCCGTTACTGTGGCACAGGAACGATGGCTGATGTCGCGTTAAGGCCAATTTATACTATCCGTTCAGACACGGGGCGGTTACGTTCAGACAAGCACTTAGTGCTTACACTATCAGTTCACCTTCGATCGCGTCCCATTTGCATCCTGGATAGCGCAGCAGAGGCTACTGTTTTACAACGTTTTCGTATCTACCTCTACATATTTATGCCGTGCGGCGAAACTGGTAGATGAAGATACCGAAACAAAGGATGGTGTCAATAAAGTAGTCTTACCGAACGTTGGAGTATGCATAAGAAGCATTGACAAAATTTCAGAGAACTGATTGGCGAAGTTAAAAACTCTAAGGGGTAACTTTCGCTGGAATTTCATCACAAATAACATTCACACAGTTTACAACAAAACATATAATAACTTGCCTGTCAATGGCACTTTCCACGAAGTGTTGTGACTCTGAAAGAGAAAATAAATTTTAATACAGAACTCGTAGTTCATTCATTTCTTGCGTTTCTTAGAACTATGCAAATTGGAAACGCTTAACACTGTCTAAACTTGTAGCTCTTTCACTGCCACTTCCGTGACTGAAGCGATGGTATAAATTGGTCTTTACGTGCGCGCGGCTCGTACAAACATAATATGGCGTACAGAGGGGGACAAAACCGCGCGGAGGCCGCCACTGGTGGACAAGACCTGGCGTAATGGAAGACCGGCGACGTCACAGTGAAATGAACGATAGTCCGACGGTCTGACAACATTATCAATGGATTCGCCAGCAGCGGAGCCGCGATATAATAGAAATCGTAACCCCTCGCTGAAGATTAATCGTTCGTTCGATCGGATCAAATTGCCGATGAGACGTGAAATTCAACGCGGAGATTTCTCTATTCCCTCGGTCTTCGATGGTACAAATAAAGTTTCGTCTTTCCATTCGCGCCGCGGCAGGGAAAATGGCCACCTTTAGCTGGAAAACCCTGGAAAAGTTGCGCGAAGGAGTCTGTTTCTTTCTTCCGGTGAAAAATCGTTTTTTAACCGAAACACTATCGAAGATACTATTGTTAGATACGTGGCACGTCTCAAGATTTATAACACAACCGATCAACAAACAATTTTTATAACATACGGGGGAAATCCACTTTAGGCGCTTGAAAATCATAAGTTTATGCAACAATTTTTTGTGGGGTTGGCCACACCAAATCCAAACAGTTCTCAAAGAACAAGGATGTATTCAACACTCCTAACGAACGAAGGAATAGAAAAGTAGCGAAAGAAGTAGGTGTATCGATACGCAGCTGGATTTAACGTTGGCACGGAGACCGTTTCGCAAAGAGCGTTGGCTGGAAAGAGGGAAACGAGTTAAACGAAGTTGCTCGCCGTGCAGATGGAAGCGAAAAGCAGAGCAAACTGCGGTGCCAGTGACAGAGTTACGTTGTCGCGTGTAACGAAGTAGATTAGTCAGTGTGACAGAAGACCGTAATTTCCTAGGCAAATGACACCGATCGCGCAACCAACGCACTGTGCTTCCAGTACACCTGGCACGTGTTTCGGTGCTCGTAAAACCAGGACTGTCGACGTTGCGCCATATTCTGTTTGCTGAAGAGGTTAAAAAAGAGGACATTTTTCGTTATTAGTCGACAAATGCAATTAAAAGGATATTCGACATAATCCTAGAAAATAAAATAATAATATCATATTCTGTTGGAGGGAATCGTATCATTACTTGATTTTTCACGTTCCTTTTTAATCTCTTTTGATTCTTTGAAGTATCGTTGCTTTCCCATCGTTATTCTATAAAACCAGATACCCGTCGTACTTTTTACTCTGTTTACCCGACGGGAAAAACTAGCAAGTCGAACGAAAATGAACTTGTATAATGTTTCGATTAGAGCTATACATTTTTTTCTGCATTATTATATTCGAGTTGAGTTGAAACGATGTTAATGAAAGTTGAAACTACAAAATAAATCCTTTGAAATAAGATAAGGAACGGAAGAATTTATTTCGCAATCTAAAATTATCACAAAATTCATTAAGGTCGAGGTAAGTTGAATGAAAATATATCTCTCGGGGAATAAGGACAAGCTGTAAATGGTTTCCGTTGACTCCGTAGGAAAAAAGTGAAAAAGGTGAACGAGGTTACCTACACGTTGGTCTAAACTGGCGCTGTCTGATCCTGGGGGTCCGGACGGCGAGTGGTCGGAAACGATTACATGTGATTTAAGGAGCTCTCCAGTCTCGGACCTCCAGGTTGGCCCGACCACTGCATCTAGCTTCCTATAGACTCTAGTCTGTTTTATCTACGAAGTGCAGCAGTCGTCTCTGCTTACACGCCTATTGGCCCTCGGTTCCTACGTCCATAAACCCTTCGATTACTTTCTTGCATCTCAATATAAAACATACGACGCCGACGCAAGAAGCTTCTCTCGTTTCTAACGTAGAAAATAGACAGGTTACTCCGTAATGTAATGTTACTAAAATAAACCCTTTGCACTCGACGACAATTTTATTACAGAGAGATAACAATTACGACGACTAAACCTTCTGCTACCACGATCGGAAAGTCGTAGAAATATAATATCTTACTACTACTTCAAAAAAGATCATTCAGGCCTGAAAGGTTTCAACATTTATTTTAATTAGAAAATAATTCACCATCCCTATAGACAAATCTGCGAACAAACTCAGTGTTCGCATAAATCACTTCTCCAAAACAACCCTCGTGAACCTGACTGACCCTCCCAAAATCTTACCAATACAAAATCCTGTGCACAGGCCGACTTCACAATAATACGTCCCTAACTTTAATCCCTGATTTCTTCATAAAAATGACCGAAAATTGTTCTCTCACAGCGCGCAGTCAACGCCCTTCGCCAGCGTTGATTCAGGCAGCGGGTGCGTGTCTCGCCCATCCCCCATGGTCGCGTAACTCTTAAGAGTTAGATCGATATGGCGCGAAATGTAACGATAAGTTAAAAAATCGCGGTTCCCGCGTTGCAGCGATAATGGTACTAGCAACCCACGTGGGCGGTGTTCAGACCGTCAACAGCCCCCGTTCACCACCACCTCCCACCCCCCCGCATACGAGTAGCGAGCGAGACTCGGTTACCTCGTTAAAAGTACACAACGGCCGTTTATTCGCGAGCAGATTGTGCATCGTCGTCGTAAATTCCTCCGGGCGATTTTATCAGAGGGCGGAAGGGGCACGAGGGCGCAAACGGTGGAGTTAGAGCGAGAGGATGAGGGGGGAGGTGGGTGGGTTGAAGAGGGGGCTCGACGCGTTCCTCTCTCCACAAAAGGGTAATATTTCCGTGACGCTATTACACTTACCGGAATGGGGAAAGGGTAGGGGGCGTCGAGACTCGGTAACTACCCAGTTAACGCAGTGCGGCCACGCTGGCGTCGCGGGCGACGTCGGTCGAGAGCCGCGTCCCTGCAAAAGGTTATAAAAATTCAATTAACTCCGCAGTTTTAATTAATTCCGTATTTATATGATGCGATAAACAGAAACTACCTGGCCCCCCTCGCCGTGTGCGGCACGGCTGTTTCGTTTAATCTTCGCTATTGTCGCGAGGGGCGCACGGCCTCGCGGCCACGGGAAACCGATTTCCGCGTTGTCTCATTGCCGCACGTTCTCATCTTTTTCGCGTGTAGGGCTATTTCAGGACGAATCGATCATTAGTTTTGCGCTGTGTGTTTAGGTACCTTGAGGGTGATGAGATGTGACGTAGGGATGGTGTATTCTGTATATATTATTACAGTAAAAGAGCCGTTCATTGCACAAGTCGATTAACTCCATGAAACAAAATGTTGAGAAATGGGATTAAATATAAAAAGTAACGAGTACACCAATTTTCCTTTGACACTTAAATTTAACATTTCTCAAAAAGTGAAGTTAATCGATTTGTGCAGCGAACGGCTGAAATGTCATTATTTTATCGCGATGCATTGGACGGATGCCCGGCACAACTGCACGTAAAAGGAATCTTGAATCTCGCGACGTTCTCCGAATAGCAGTGCACGCATCAGACCACTGAGGTACAAAGGAAGATTGATGGAAGCTGATTCTCTCCATCTCTCTTGGGCCTCCACTGTCAGCTCCTCCAGGTGAGACTTGATAATCCGAATTATTCGCGATGAATTTATTCATTGCGGTTGGTGGCGAACTAATTGGCTTTAAAAGCCTTGAATGCTTTATTGAATTTTAAGGACAAAGGCGAACTTGGAATATTGTTCGTCTTTCATCGGACATCCTGAATATGCATATGCATACACCGCCGCTACGGAAGTTTCGGTACACGTGTTGATGAGAAGGAAATTCATGAATTTTATTCCAATAGGGGCAAATTAACACAAAGATATCACAGACTGCGTGAAATTCATTACTGTAGGTGGCTCTTCGTCGGTGGTTGTGTGCTCCATTCATCCAAAAATATCCAGTGGATTCCAGGTTAATTGGGTCGCCGATTAATCAGGTTAGCCGTGTATTTGGGACAAACCTTAAAGGACCAGCTGACGTAATTAGAGCGGTCGCTTAATTGGCCCGAAGTATTTTGATAATAACGTGTCCCAATTAGCCGTAATCCAACGTATTTGTCCATCTTCGCGCATCAATTCCCGTTAATATTGTTTTTCATCAACGTTTCTTGATCTCTGCGTGGTTCTAATAAGTTTTTACACTACGATTATCATAAAAATATATTTTTTGAAAAATATTTTAAATTACAAAAATCGAATCAAATAGATAATAAATGTCCGTTTGTATATTTCCTTGTAAAATACAAACAATGAAGATATGTACATCCAAATGTTTCGCGTATTAAATTACGTGTACAATAAACTTCAGTCGAGAACGCAAAAAAATTTTGCAACGGATGCAATACTGCGATATCCGCCATAGGTTTCATACGCTAAATGACTTCCGCCGAAAATTCTTCAATATGAAAATAATCATCGCGAATCCAATCAACTCATCGTATACAGAGTTGCATCGGAAGAAATTGAGAAATGCTATTTACAAGGTAGACTGCGAAATGCTGTTATTAAAACTTACCCTCGCATACGGTCGCGTATATTGTTACTACTTGCTGTTTTTATATGAGGAACAATGAACGTTGTTTTCAGGCACCGAAAAGTATATAGACAACTAATTGCATACCGCGGACAATTAAAGAGCGGGTTCCGTAATTGGTTCTTTAATTATGGATTCTAAAACACAAAAGAAGTCGTACTACGTTCTGCGTGTGCTTAAATTACTATTAATATTCTTTTTTTTTTTCATGCAAAAAATTGCAGGGAGTAGAGAGGAACTTGGTGAAATTACAAGAACAGTTTAATTAAACATTCTTCTTGAATCTGTCTTTCCTGATGCAGCAATTTAATATCGTTTGACGCGGAAGGGTTTGTAGTAGTTCATTAATTTTTGCTCATATGTTTCTTTCTAACTTTGAGACTTAGAATTGTTTAGAAGCCTAATTATTTTAATCCAATTGTGAACTTGAAGAGACACCCATTTTGGTAAATTAAGGTAACAATATAAGGTAAACAATCGGTTACATTCAACGCTATTTGTGTTTCATTAAAAGACACAATCCTAAAGGCCACGTGTAACGGTTCGCGATTGCAATCGCCTGTTGGTTTCAATACCTCGCAAGAACCGATCGTCTAGGCGAGATGAAGCAGCGAAGTTCGATCAGGCTCATAGCTGCGAGGGGTAGCCTATACCGTCGATAACGTTTATCGTTCCTCACTGACGCGTCGATGCCTTCTCAGGCAGAAGAACACCAACGCCCACACCCGTCCCCATCCTTCACCTCGGCATTTAAATTCAGACACCGCAGAAAATTCTGAAAGAGCCAATCGGGGGTTGGCCGTCGGCTCAGACCGTGCGATGTGTGCGGGCTTTGCGGTTGGCTGCAGGATTGGCTGGTTAATTTCACACTCCCATGATTATATAGACGAGATGGTGGGCATTTATATTCGCGCGCGCAGAGAACCGAGGGTGCCTGATTGGGTCCGATATTTAGAGAATAAAAAACTTCCGAGTTCCACGGTACTGTTCGTTGCCACCCTCTCTGCCCTTCTCTCGTTTCCTGTTTTTTTCCGTCTCTCTCGCACCCTCCGGAATCGCCCACCGTTTCGTCCTTTTTCCTCCTGCACGTTACACTCGCACATACGCGATCGTCCACACGCGGACGCGAACATACACGCGTAGCAAATGACTATGGATTTCACGGGTATTATAGCTCTCTTTCGAGGTGAAACGTTCGGTACGGGACGAATTCATTCTTTAAGTGGCGAACGAGGGTTGGACGAATGCTAACGTTTCCTTTTATACAGCCGAGAATGTTTGTATCGGAAATCCTGTGATTTTCAACTAAAATTAATTGTCTCTTATTTTAACCATTCTCCTTTTTCTCTTTTTTCTCTTCTCTCATAAATTATTTTTTCTCTCACCTTTTTTAATAAAGCTTTTTATTAAAACAATATCCTGTCATTTTAAACTATACATTCAAAAATAACAGAAATTTCAGCAGCTCCTTGAATCAAACAGTATATTAAGAGTATTCTAATCCCACGATTAGCCTTCCAAGGTCCCAAAACACAGCCCCCCCCCCCTCCCCCGAGACTCATCCGAAAACTACCCGCGAATAATACTACATTCCCTCCCACACAGCACCCAGAGCGTTTCCATTCTGGAACACCCATTCACCTCCCGGCCGTTAGCGTTCTGGGGCAACGTGAAATCTGCGTCATCCATCAGTGGTCATGAGGGGTGGCGGCGAGTCGAGGGCAGTCATCAATATTTTCGCCGGGGACAAAGCGATGAAAAACAGCCAGACGGTGACGGACAAAAATTTTTGGCCAGTCGACGAGGACGTCGACCGTGCCGACTCGCGTCTGAACGATCGGCGTTAGGCAGCGGGCCGCCCTGTAATCGTGCAAATTTGGAAAAGGGTTCGTAACGGGAAAGCGTTGGAACGTAGATGGCGCGCGTAGTCGGGGGTGGAGGGTTGGTGGCGAGGTTGGTAGTGGACGAGTGGCAATCCGTAGCGAAAATGCGACTCGCGCGGGGCTCGTTTCGGGACGGACCAGGACAGCGCCAGCGGCTTTTAGTGTGAAATGAATGCTTGTAATTACGAAGGGCGGGAAGGGGAACGGAGGGTTAGAGCGGGACTGACGGTTAGAGCGACGGAGAACGTACGGAAAAAGCGTGGGAGTAGACCGTTGCGGCGGTAGTGGTGGAAGCGGTGAAACCGTTCGGTGGGGATAGTATTTCGGTTGCGAAACGGTCTAGGGGCGGCGAGGGGAAGGGGTGAGAGAACGGTTCGGTGGAGCTGCACACTCTGCCTCGCAATGATAGACTGTACTGATCCGTCGGTCGGTTTGTTCGTGTTGGTACGGCGCAGGCTACGTACTACCATAATGTCCACTAATTGTAATAGCCACCCTTTGTGCGCCGCTACCGTGTCCCGTCGATGACGAAAGAATGGAGGACGAACGGCCGATCTGCCAGCCTACCACTGGAACAGGTATTTTTGTTTGAAAAATTATCGCTTCACAATGGTGGTCGTACACTTATGTTGAGGATATGTTATTGAATATAGTTGACTAGGAGCTTCGTAGAGTTGCATTGATTTGTGGGGTTGAAAGGGCCACAGATTATTTTGAAATGTTAGTGATACTGCTTTTGAGGGTTAGAGATATTTTTTTGAAGAACGATCAACTAGAAATGGATTTCCAAGATGTGTAATTGTTAAAATATGAGAGACTTAGTAAAGGGACCAGTTGACTTTTCCTTTAAACTTGCTAAGAATGCTCATCTCTTCCACTTGTCAACGGGACGCAATAAACGAGTCACCCCTACAATAATCGAAATTCTACTTAAGGTAGAATTACTGTTGCTTCAAGCTACACGTAGTCTCCAATTCGCCCTCGAAGACAGTCTCGAGGGGCAGGCGAACACCAGCGATGAATCTTAGGGTGGTTTTCTAATTATGCAACGCCTACAGACACTACTACTCGCGACCTGCAAGAATGCTCCGCAGGAACAGTTACAAAAGTCCCTCGTCCTCATAAATTGGTCATAAATTCTGTGCCCTTTCTCGCTGTTCGCGTGCCTACTATGCGCCACTTGCTATTGGGAATTGTGGGTTCGGTTTTGCTGAAGAGTCGACTGTTCTTTTCTAGACAAACTTTTTGCAGACAAACACACAGACCTCGTTGTGATATACAGTCAGTTCTATAAATATTCGTACCCTCTGTGTTTATCAAATAAGTTTGTCTATATGAAATGACAGACTTGATGTTTTCAAAATTTATTTATGTAGATATGTATTATAGAAAATTTATTAAATATTGACTATTTTATCTAGATGTGGTACGCAATGTGTCAATCGATTAAAGAATAATTGAATAGCTACATTCAATGCAGAGAAAGATGAATAGTCATAGTTAATATGTTTACTTGTTCAAGCATAAATATGAATAATAAAATAGACGCCAATCGTTTAGCATAGGTGGCAATAGGAAGGTACTATACTTGGTTTACCGAATTCATAAATTCATCTGTAAACAATGATTCGCTTTGACCCCTTTTCACCAAGCTTTCTCAGATTCTGCGTGTTCTATAGTTAGCTCAGTTATAAAATTCCGTATGGGGGGCAGATATGCGTAGAATGCACCGTTGCAGGTGAAATGGAGTGATTGGATTAGAGCCGGCTGACGATCGGACTAACAGTCAAACGAACGAAAAAATCGGAACGCTTATTTTCTTTTTTTATTTGATTTCAAGTCGTCAGTCCTGCGAGTGACGTTGACGAGAACGTTGAAAGTGTGATGGGGCAAATTACAGGTGACCCGTGCTTTTGATCATTTTATCAAATTCTCTGAATTCAAAGGGTTTGCTCCCAGCCGCATCCCTTGATCAGCCAGTCTGTACTTTCAGCCGATTCTTCGTTGTAGCTATTTTCGATTAATCCTCGTTAAACGCGATGCATTATCGATCTTGCGGATTAATCCGGGAACTCTTTGAACCGAAATTGATCGAATTCCTGTTGTGCAGAGTTAAAAAATCAAAGTAGGTAATATCGAGTGTGCTTTAAAGTAATTCTGAGCAAAAATTAAGTTGGGACAAGTATGTAATTCTCCCTTGAATGGCCATTTTTATTTTCAAATGCAAATGAGTTATAAATTGTGTCATGTCCAAGAATGAGTAATTATTCGTAACCTAACTCAAGAAGCATCCATTCAAAAACAACCAGCTCCCACCCCGAATCTTATTTATTTCCCCGATATCCCTCGACCACGGTTTCGTCCTGGAATGCTCGTGTAACAACGTCTTCGCTCCCACTTGACATACAGAAAAATCAATAGCTCATGCCCGATCGCAAAAAGCATACGCTGAATGCCCCACCGACGTTGTTTCCTTTTTATTTCGGCGTAAGTGTTCAATTTATATTCGCCGGCAAACGATCCATTCATACGATAAAATAAATATACCCGGCACGAGTATCGCCGATGACGAAGGATGAGACGCCGAGCTATCAGTCGCCTCTGCTGTTGGTTTGCTCGCGCCCGTCCATACAGCACGGCTCGGATAAATATTTCCGCGTTTTGAATCGACGCTGGAGATCGTATTGCAATGTATACCACCAGCATAAAGGTCGCTCGCGTGTCTCTTTGAAAAAGCCTCTAAAAACCTACGTCACGATATGAATACGGCCGAGGCCCGGGACTGGATTTTATTACACGTGCAATCGCAGCTGCCTGCAAATCGCTGGGACGTATCAATGCGACCTCGTTATACGCATCTACGCGCAGATTCTTTCCCCGCAATAATTGTAACGCGGATATACCCCAGACGTCGCGTCGCGCGTTGACATTTACATGCGCTGCTCACGTTTCTATTGACGGCCGTCTATCTTCGATCGGGGGACTGCGACTGGATCTAGATAGAGGTCGCTTACCTTCCTGAGGACCTCCACAGCGGGGTTGGAGGACCCTGGTATGTTAACCCCTTCGTTGGAGCGCTCAGTGACAGGAGAACGGATTGCAGAACGGATCATTTGTGATGCAGCATTGGATCATTTGTTGTCTGAATAAGGAATAACTTGGAGGAATTAATTTTATTATTTTATGGAGAATGGAGTAAAATATTTCTTGTAATAGCTCGTTTTACACAGATTCCTACATGAATATTTGTGCAGCCCCCGACAGCTGGATATATTCCGTTATAGTTCGCTGGAATAATTACAAATACATTTTTAATAAATTTAGTTAAATGAATTGCTTTTATGAATTTAATTTTTTACAACCAAGAACATATTTTAAACGTCATAAAATAGTATCGAACATCCCGAGACTGCAACAAATCAATTAATAATTCCTCCTAATCAATTAATAATTCCTAATAAAAACTACTTTCTAGGCAAGTTTTTCTAACTGATTCCATCTTGCTCTTCGCTGCGAGTGCGTGTCCCCTGCCAACTGTCTTCGACGTTGAAACAATAGCAAATGAAGATCAACTCGTGCGAGTTCTCGTGGCTTACATATATTGCTATTGAGCGATTACACTGCTCGTCGTAGTATTTCGTCGCGCGAAATCCCCGTTGATTTATAGGAAACCGTGCAACGCGCCCACTAACACGTATAATGAGACATAGAGATAACGTCAATTCGGGGAAATATATCGCCAGGACTTTCGCAATAAATCTCGTTCCGCATTTTATTTTCGACTTCGTGAGCGCGCGCGCGCGCGCGTGCGAGTTAGAGGCGGGAAGGGGTTGATCCGCGGACAAAATATTTGCGTGCACTCAACTACGCGGGTGCATTAATTCAGTGATTCGGGGTAATATATTTCCGAGTTCGCCAGCCGAAACAGCTTTATGCGCCAAATTTAATTAATAATCTGGATTAAGATACATGGATCGCGTTGCGCAGAAATGTTCTTAGCTGGCAGATTCGGCTACGGCCGCAATTCTCTCGGTAATTGGACCGATACGGAAAACTTGCCGCCATGCCATCTAAATCGGTTATCTATCGGTGGCCGAACTTCCGCGATGTTCGGTTTACGTCATCGACTAATGTACCGTACGTGTTCCGTGTCAAATTCCAGAAATAACTCCTGCTCGAACATTGCACTCTCGATACGATGATTTGATCATTGGCGGGGGACTTAAAGTGCTGATGCTTTTTTTAGAATTTGTAACGAGTTCCTAATCGAAAACAAAGTGGTCAAGTACTCGTTAAAATAGTAAAAGATGTGTAGACATAGATCCAATGTTCACTTTTTAAATCTATCAATGTTCTTGAATTTCTCCGAAAATTGGAATACGAATAAGGTATTGAAAAATAGTAATCCTTCGCATAGAATATTGGAAAATAATAGTACCGAATATTTTTTCATTGGCGAGGAACGAAAATTGAACTCAAAATGAATATTCGTGGATGAAAGCTGAAACTATAATAGTTTCAGGATTCTACTTTTTAATCACAAAATTCGTAGAGAACTAAATCGTACGTGTAGTACACATAGCATTTGTGTGTTGATTAAAAAATGAAATTCTAAAAGCAATCGCATCAAAAACTGACAATACTAACTTATTGTTTTCGGTTCTTGATATTTCCATGATTATTGTCTGTTCTATTCATATTTCCACAGCGTTGAGCCAGCAAAAATTGTACGTTTCGCCGCGTTGGTATTCTTCGTGTCGTAGTTTCAATTATAGCTGTCGAGTCGAGCTAGGGTAAGATCCGAGAGGAGTATAATTACGGGTATCAGATTTGGAGCTAATAGTTCTGCGTCACCCGGAGCACGGGGTATTGTTGCCACCTCCCTTGTTGCCTCGGGGCTCTCTATGTAATTACCATTACCCACAAGCTGATACCCACCGCGCTTATCATATTCTGTGGCAATAATAGCGTTGATACAGCAGCTATGCTGTGATTGCCTTCGATTCGAGAAGCTGCATCTTGATCAGAAATGCCTTGGAGACGCTGATCTGGAAAGTTCAATTTATACGATCGAGTTGAAACCAGGTTTCGATTAGGGCCCGCAGGAATACGGAATACGGGGCATCGACCCGCGCCTAACGTTTGAAACCAACCCGTTACGTCGCTTACAAATATTACATTTACAATGTAAATCGCGCTAAAACGCCGAAAGCTTGCTGGATAAATAAAGACTGCGGTCTATAACACAGACCATTTAATCACGTAGCGTTTCAACTATGTGGATGAAGTCATATTCAAAATTCTGTGGAGATAACAAAAAAATTTATATTATTATTATTACCGGTTTGAACAAAATTGATGTAATTTTTGATTTATACAGGAGGAATGGTCGCATTGAATTTAAATGAAAATTAATTAGTTAAAAAAAGTAAAAATAAATAAAACCTCAGTTTTAATCCATGTACTTGATTATTGGATTCAATATCAATCACAAAGAATAAAGAATGTCCGAGTGAAGATCTTAATGTCCACGCGAAATGTTAATAAACGTTTCATCAATTTTCATGGCACCACCATTTTATTATACGCGAAACCATAACGTGTGTTTACATCGCGCTTAATATTCCATGCCTTCATGAGACGACAGGAACGCTTTACGACCGCCGCGAAGTACCGTATAATGCAGTTTTAAGCAACGACTTCTGAGCTCCCGAGACCAATGATAAACAACCGACAATAATAACAGTTTATTCGTGGCCGAGCGTTCCATGTAAAATTCATTATAGGATCGCGCGTGTGATACGGCGACATCGAAAGAACAAATACGTAACGACGCTGCACCAGATGTATCATTATGATTCGGAAGTTATGGCATCGTGAATGAGATTTCAGAACGTTGCACGAGCCGCGACGTAATGGATGATGCAACACAGGTGGCTGGCAGTCTTCGATGAAAAATTAATTGAGCCTAGAAAATACACATTTTTCATCTTAATAAGATACCTGATGGAAACTAGTTAATCAAGATTAATTTAGTAATTTGCAGTCGCATTGGTTTTAATTGTGATGTGCAGCAATAAAGGGAGAATATATACATGTAAGTATAGACTTAGATGCAAGTAATTGAAGAATTTGTTTAGAGGTATTTGTTCATTAATTTTTGCATTATTTTTAACAATTTGTTTACCTACTTGTAAACAATACCTCTCATATTTTTTATCACATTCCTTTCAAATCACTTTCTAATCACAGAAATTGCAATTGCTTTTTAAATCATCGTATCCTTCTAATAGACTCTCTTTGTCACTTCGTGAGGGAACGTTCAATACCTTGACAGGGTTTGAAGCTTCCATAAAATAAATTCATGGGAGATAGATAATCTCTCCCGGCGTCAAGACGTAAATAGCAATTCTAGAAGAAAAATTAGCTGTTAAGCGTCAGCGAGATTGGGTTTTTAAAGAAATTTGCCACCTTCCGGAAGTGTCTGCGAGGCGACATATTTAGCAAAGTCTTTTTCTGTCGTCCTCTCGATGAAATCTGCCGAGACAACGACGAGGGTAGGCGGATGATTTTCACCCCCCGAAGCGAGGGAAAAATTAACGGTGGTCGTTACGGAGGTAGACGCAATTTTGATTCTATCTGTTGTCGACGCACGGGGACGAAGCAGCAGATGAAGTCGCAAAGTAATACCTGAAAATCTCACGAAGAGCAAAACGGCGAAAGTTATCTCGTAAGCCCCTAATAATTTTCATCGCTAATACTTTCTTGCCTTACATTCTCCTGGTTCTGTCCACTCTCACCTTTTTCCAGTACGATTATTCTCTTAATATTTTTCCTCTTATTCCATTAAAATTATGCACGAAGAACTTTTGATTTCGGAGTATTATTGCTCAATTAAATATTCACCTGTCGAAGACTCGTCCATTGTTTGATCGATAGTGTCGCTGTGACGCGTAGCATGGAGTAATTAATACGACAAAAAGTGAGTTGCCCATTATCTAAAATGTAATATCTTCATTAATTGGCACTTATATTACTGGAACAATGGCAACGTTTAATGTCTTCGCTTTACAGCGTATCTCTGACATTCAACAAGTGAAAGCAATTCTCACGTACAAAGGCGTATGGTTCATAGAGGTACATTCATCGGCAGCGAAGTGTCAAGCAACTGCTCCGTGCATTCGTATGCAGATGGACTGTCGCTTGATTGGAGAATTAACCGCCGCTTCTCCTTGACTGACGATGGAATAATGTACTGTTCGTCTTCCCGGTTCAAACCTGCTCGAATTCCAAGAAACACCTACGTCAATTTGCAAGTACGCTTGAACTTTAATTATTCTTTGCAACAAAGATGAAGACGATAGAAAACTATGATACAGTTTATTAGAGAATGGAGTCTAGTAGAGTTTTAGCATTGAATAGCATTTAATTAACAATCTCTTACTTTATAATTTGCTTGTCTTCGTCAATATTTATTAATCCTCGTTAATCCTTCTTGTCGCATGACATATAATACTACAGTCAATTAAGTACTCTACGAATTTGTAGAATTTTATTTATTCATCGAAAGAGTCTCGAACGAGTCCGCAAATTCCGTGGAACGCGCTCACTACTCGGTTTCATGCCAGGTAGGGCTGTTCACCTTTTCGACTCGTTGACTTCACAAATTAACGAGTACGTCTCGTGCAGTCGGTTGACTCGCAACGGCCTTCAGACGGCATCGTCAAGTTATAAAAAATCGGCTGACAAAAAAAGCCAGCACGTTTAACACGCTAGAGGTTTCGCGATGTGTGAGTCGCTTTAAGCGTTTTAATATGCAACGTGGGTCATTTGAGACATCATTTTTAACGTTTAAATTAGGACATGACATGAGGTTGAGATAACTTCTTTTGCTCAGAGTAATGGAATTTTGATTTAAGCGACAAGGATCATCTTATTTAAACTTTGTTTGAATATTTGGTCATCGAGGGTGAGGTGTTCTTCAGGAGATGAACAATTACATGCATGTCGCAATTGTTGTTATAGAATTAAACCTAAATCAGAGTGTTATGAGCATGAAATTTATAAAAATCATTTGTAGTTTGACGAGGTGCAGAATTTTTCACGAATTTTTAAATTATAAAATTTATCCCATGGTTACCTATTTTCCTGCACACACATACATTTTATATTTACACCGAATAAACGAACATTCTCGGAGGTATTAATTTCATTTCAACTTGCAAATTCCATTTCATGGGGGCACTGAAAGCTGACGCCACGCAAAGGCGCCGCAGCATTGGGTAAAGCGTACGAGAGGTAAGCACGAGAAGAAGGTCATTTTTAATTAAAGTACAGAACGATATTAAGAGGATAAATCGTGCCGTGTATAATTATCCTGAAAACGTCCTGCTCTCTGTTTGAGCCCGATTCCCTCGACCTCTGTCCAACTCCCGATTCTCCATTCTTTTCTCTGAAAAATCTATTTATTTTTCACAGCTGTCTCGATTTCTCTCTCGGTCAGCCAGTATCGTTTCGTCCTGCACCGGAAACCGAACGTAGACTCTTGTCAGGAGCACGTGCGCGCGCCGCAACACAGCTCCGCGAAAATGACACAGTAATTAATGGTCACGTATCAATTAGCGGGCGCCTACTATGTGCCCGTTGCCAGTTTTAAATCGGTCCAACGCCAGGTTGCAAATCTCTCGCGCACACCACCAAACCCCTTCCATCCTCTGCCCTATCGCGCAGTCGGCCAGTCCTGAGTCTCCTCTATTAATTACGAAGGGGTCCATCAATTTGACACATTAACGTATTGCCCGCGCAGGTGTTGCGCGAAACCACGCCGCCATATGCGGCGAAAAATGTTCCGTGTTCCAGTCAGCGAATGCCTTTTCGAAAATGAACGAGAAACTAATCGTTTATCGCCGTCCTAGCAACGATATTTTCCGTGGCCGGCCTCTGTCGGAGCTCGGCAGTTCTTTAGGTAGAGGTGTGATTTTTTTAGCGAATTACTGGCATAGTGGTAGGGGTTGAAACACTGGAGGCAATTGTGGTGCGAAAATGAGACGTTAATTATTGTTTTTTTTTTGTAGGGTAGTTTGAGTAGTTTCTTTTTTGTGAAAATGATTGAAAGTATTTATTTTAGGAAGTGTTATTTTGGAATAATATTCTATAGAATTTAATTTCACCAAAACCTTTCGATTCTAATATCCCTTCGTTGAATAAATATTTCCTTATGAAGAACAGTACAAGTATTTTTCAAATACGTAGAAACAAATATAGAAAATTTAAGGAAGCTAAGGTAAACAGTATTCGCAACAAAAAATAATAAAGTAGGGTCTTTAACGTTACAAAGTAGAAGGCTGGTTTAAAATAATCACGTTCACGGATATCTCTGAATAAAACCATGTAATAATAGCATACCGTGTGTTACAGGATCGCGCAATTTCTTATCAGCGTGAAGCACACGAAATCCGATGAAAACGACGTCGGAAGAGCGAAACTGAAAAGCAACGAAGCGGCGCATCTGGCACAGCGGCGGAGACCACCGCGTCATTATTTATGGGGTTTACGGGGTTCGGTCAACCGCAAGGGTAGCTGAAGGCACTACGCCCTTGAGGACTCGAGCTTCCAAGTCGGGGTGTTGCCAAGTGTGAACCGAGAAGGCGTTGCTGTTTACTATCTCGCCACGAAGATCCAACCGACCTCCCGAGCATACGTTTGCGTATATTGTTGGTCCGTGGTCGCATTCCCTGGTCCCATCATCTCCCTCTGAAAACAATGAGTTTAGTAGCAACTGCTTCACAAGGGAAGTTAACGTTTACCTGTTTAAGGTAATACGAACATCAGGAACCCCCCGTGACCGCTAACGAACGCGGAATACCTTCTGTCATTAGCGAACGGAATGGAAATGTCGGAAGTTAACCCCTTTAATGGCTCTGTTACCTTTTTTCCGGAAGTTTTTCGTTTGTAGTGTTGATTGGGGGTTGCTAGACCATTTTCTATTTATTGTTCTTGTGAAATTTGTCGAAGCATAAATGTACACCATAAGAATGCCTTAAAGTGGCTGAACTTGAACTGAATTTTATTAACAGAAACATAAAGTTATAAATACATTCTTCAATTCTCACAAGAAAACAAAACAAATAAATGTAAACAAACCACACGCAGACTTCTTCCGTTCAAACTGTCCTGTTCAAATCGTCTAAGATTGCTTGAGTATGTAATGCAAAGCAAGATTTAGCATAAAAACTGTGTCTCGTTATCGTTTCCTAAAGAATCCGCGAACATCGTTAGGAAGCAGACACCGTGTAACAGACTTAACGGCCCGCGAAAGTTCCGCTATATTTGACCAACATGTCTTGCGAATTTCTTTTCTAAGTTTCTGGCTAACAATTTCCCCTCGGAACTTCCCCTTCAGTTTGTTTCATTAAGATGGTGCCATAAAGTCGGATGACCTCCTCGAACGAAGAGTCTTTATCGGACCAATTATAAAAGAAAACGCGAACCGCCTCCTTATCGTCGCGTTTCGCGAGGTAACGTCGTGTACGGTAAAGTTGCTTGAATTAAATCACTTTATCTCTGTTATTGTAATGTTTGTAACAGCCAATTAACACACTCGCTACTTCAAATTCTATTCGTGGCTATGAAACACACTACATATTTACAACATATTTTGTGACATCTATCTTCGCCCTAATTTTTGTCTGAACTTGGTATTAGAAGCGTAAAACATCTATCGGTCACGAATGTGTTAAAAAAATACATGTATTTGATTTATTTAACAGACCATCGATAAATGAAACTTTTCTTTGAAAATGTTGCCAACAAAAATAAACTCGATAACCAGTCACGACCCTTCAACCCCTTCTCCAGATTCTCTAGTTTCAAGGTTCGCAACGCAAAGCCTAATTTGACAACGAATTATTCCTCACCGATCTCATCGTGCATTTTTCTGTTCCGCTCGGTTGTCGAGGGTTTAAACGCGCTCTGGCCACTCTCGCTCTCCGAAGGATCAATCTTCGCGCGACGCCTCTCCGTCGCGATGCTGATTGTATTTCACGCGCCGTTTGTTGTTCTCATTTATCGTGAACTGGCATCTGCCCCTTAGACGCGAGATCCGTTAACGTATCAACCGGGCGAATTAACACGCTGGCCAAGCCCCTCTTGTATCGGCGATCGACTTTTAGTCCCCGCGGACGAACGGCTGCTTCTGTTGCCAGCGTTCTGTTCTCATATCTCTCGGCTATCATTCCGTGCGATTAAACAGAGACCCTGGAGAGTTTAAAGTTTTTGGAGGGGGCCGGGAGGAGCGGGGAAAGGGGGTTTCGAAACGGGGTCGACCGTTACGGGTAACGCTCAAATTGACGGGGTGGGACAGACAATAGTTCAAGACTCACGGTTCGCCGAACACTAATATAAATGCAAATCGACTGTTACACACTTCTGAATGTCTCGTAAAACAAACTGCACGCGGAGGTCAGTCCGAGAGGCGAGGAGACAGTGGGGGCGGAGAGAGGTGAGGGATCGTTAATGATCGGTTTCGGCGCGGTCCTGACAATTTGTCCAAGGTAGTGTTTGCCGAGCACTGACGGCACCGTGTAACGATAAAATGGTCATTGGGAATTAGCATTAGTCGCGCGGCTATTGTTTGAATGCGCTTCCGTTTTTTCGAGTAATCGTTGCTCGACCAAAAGCACTAAGTAACTAAGTAATGTGTTCACGTTTCTTTCGCTGGGGAGGGGTGGATTTTAATTAATCGATTCATGGATTGACAGTTATTCCGTAAACTTGACTACATCAATTTTTTAACATACCTTTGTTTCGTTCTCCTGAATTTCAATCAGTCCCATAGATTTGGAAAATTATTTCGATTAGTTATAAATTAATAATATTAAACAGTATAATAACTTACTTCAAACAATAAAACCTATTGCTCCGAATACATTCAGATAGCACAGAACCCAACAATTAAACTAACAAATATAAAATGAAGAAAATAGAAGAAAATTCGCGAAACTACTCAACTAAAATTATACATAGCACACTTGGAAGGAAATGTAGCGAGGGAAGAACAATTCGACAGGGTCCCTGGCGTTAGGGGTATGGTAACAGGTCCTGGTGGAACAGGAAAAGGAGATGAAGCTTCACCCCAGAGGAAGATGAGTTTCGGGCCTACCGAAAACGAAACGGTGCGGGGAAAGTCTGAAACGGCTGCTCGCGAGTGACACGAGGCGGGAGGGGGGCTAGGTTCGCGAGGAAACTAAGCGCGGGGCGAGAGGGGGCCGGAAAAGAGCGCCAGTTCTTAGAATTGTCTCTCACAATAAGAGGCTTGTCGGACTAAAAAGAAAAGTTTACCGGTTAGGGGTGAAATTGTACGAACCATGCATCCGTGAGAGAATTTTTCTCGTCCGCCACTCGCTTTTCCTCCTCGCTTCGCCGTCGTTCTCCGTCCTTTTCTAAATACCCTCGTCCGCCTTAGTTTGTATAAACAAGCGGATTTCGAGCTTAAGCGGGATACGTCGAAAAAGTGGGATAATTCGTTTTTCGAGGAATTCGAAGGATCTGCCGGTGGATTCTCGAAAGTAAAAAAGAGGAGGGAGGAGAGAGAAAAAATCGTCGGAGCGTCTCATTGCCGTTCCCAGGTCCGAGACTCGCCAAACAATGCTCTGGGAAACTTTATCCCTATAGATTGGCCGACGTCCGTGGCTGCATGATAAGCTTGTTCTCTCCAAATATCCGGCTTTCCGCGTTCGTTGCTCTCTGGGCTCATTTGGGAGCCAACTGTAATTCGTTTACACGCTTTCGATCAGTTTTCATTTTCAAATGGGTGGCGCTAGAATTAACACTAAAACGATCTTCTTATATTTTTCTTTGCTGGTTAATTAACAATAGGATGACTGACTTAACGCGTTGGACGCCATGTCATCCAGATATGAGTGACCGAGCTGTTCCATACATACATCTTTGTAATTAGAGAGAGGAGAAACGAGCTAATCAATTAATAAACTCGATTCTCTGTTATAGTAATTTTCTCCAAAAATTGTGGTCAATTTTGAAGTAAATTGTCCAAGCTTGGTAGTTTTGATGTAGCGGATGATATTTTTCTGTGTATTTTTGTGTGTATTGCAATTTGCATATGAAAAAATGTGTGGACTGTAAGAGATACGGATGTGGATTTTTTAATTAATAAACTGTCCCTATTTTCAATCCAGGGGAACGACAACCACGAAAAGTCTCTGACACGGGTAACGTAATTCGCGAACGAGCAACGTCGCAGTGAGTTTCATAAAGCGGTTAGAATTATCAGGTAATTCTACATTCTGCGCCATGAATATCAGGTTACGTGACACGAATTCGCCATGAACGGGTAATATGGCGTGTAACCGGGAATCTCTCTTACCATGCCAGAATGATTCTTGATAGCTTCTGTCTGCAAATCATGCTTTTCTCGATAGAGGAGATCCTCAACTATCCATACGTTTCCTAATCGAGTGTTAAATAATTGAGCTCTGTCGTAATTATTCGTCGGTTTTTAATAACTGAAGGGCTCGTTAAATGTTAAAAGTGTATACAATACAATAACTAGTGTAACACGTGAAAAACAATTTAGTCTAAGGCTCTAGAAGAATCGATCATTTATAATTGTTAAATTGAACTCAAGAAAATTGTCATTGACGACGGAACACGAAAGAAATGAATTCTACGCAAAGGAATGGAGACAGACGATTCGACGCCAAGCGTCTAATATCCCAGGATTCCATTCATGCAAGTATTTGCTTACACGCGTTCGCTAACACGTACCAAATCCAGCCCCCGCGTACTTTAATTAAATTTAATTAAAAATTCATGCGCGATACCGTTACGAGGCACGCGTAAACCGGGTCTCTTCCGCTTTTCGTATTTCAACCCCGAGACGCATAACAGGCGTTCAGCTGAACGGCAATTAGACGCGGCGACGCGGCCCTAAAAAGAAATTACATCCCGCGTATCATTAATAACCGGTGTAATCGGCCGTGGCGGGCCCGAAAACGTACGATTCTGATAGTCCTTAAGGATATTTGTCGGATCGTAAGCAACCGAGGAATCCGAGGAGGGGCCGGGCGGCGGTTGCAGCAACCGTCGGTCCATAAAGCAACGGGAGGATGTAGCTACGCGTAATTGCGAGGAAACATCCCCTGCCTAACCTTAACTCGGTCTGCCTTACCGCGCCTTAAACCAACCCCCGACTATCTCACGCTCTAGCGCTAAGAGAGGGTGGGAGGCACAGTCTTTTTCATGAGTGATATACGAAGGTTTCATAAAACACACTTTTACTGCCTGCAGACGCGCCCTGAATTACACGTATAAACTTTTATTCGGCTTGTTAATCGAATAATTCGTCCATTATTTCTTTTCAACCTCAATGGACGAATAATTGGTTCTATTGAATTCCCCAAACCGTCAATTTCTTAACAAAACAAAAAAAATTCTTTAAACAGTTTGGAAAATTGTAGAAGTAACACGAACAAACAAGCAAAACTAATTACCACGTCTCGCAGTATCAAGAGACAAATTGGTACCAAGCTGATAACACCTAATCGCCTCTTTTATCGCCACAGAAAAGAAAGATTCGTACAACCACGATACATCTACTAATAGCAAATGTTAATTCTCGTTCGTATCAAACGTAACCCGACTCGAAAGTCGAGTCGAAAGAAACACGAGACACTCGATCGTTGCGATTTTTCGCACAACACCGTAAAGCGTATCTTAACGAGGCTCGTTTCTCTTTTTAATAGCGGTCTGTCGTGTACGTAAATAATAACTCTCGGACGGCGATCGTTTACAAAAGTGCAGATATCTTTGGGCCGAGAATTATCAAGTTACGTGTTGCATTTTCCAGAAGCACGCATTTACTATCGCCGATGCGAGCGGTTGCGCAGCTCGCCAGAAATAGCTGAACATTTTTCTATTCCCTTATCTGGCCGTGCTGGCTTCCAACGACTGACACCTGACGGGTTAATTCTACTGGGCTGACTGCGCGACTGCTCGAGGTCGCTATAGCTAAGAAATTGAACTGATAGCCGGTTACAGCTCGCACGCGATAGAACGTCTGCTCGAGCAAACGCCCAGGGAACTTCTTTCTCAAGCGCGAAGAAAAATCCCATTTAACTATATGAATA